TTGGAAACCAGCTGATCTTATAGGATATCTTGCAACATTTTGGTAGTACATTAAAGACAGTTAGCTGAATGTACTGTATTTTTCGGACCATAAGGCGCACCAGATCATAAGGCGCATTAAGCGAAACAAAACAGTCAGAAAGGTCAAACTTTACTTAATTCATTCTTCTTGCTTCCCCCACTTCAGAAGTTTGATTCATTAATGTTGAATTCTCTCGCAGCTGCTCTATTCCCTTGCTGTTGCAGTATATTAACCCTTTAAGACCTACCATAGAACCAAGTCCGCCAGAGCTTATATTATATTTTTACATGCTGTGGAGCCATTTTTGGGAGCATTTCAAGTTGCTATACATCAATACAACCATTATAGCCCAGATTTTAATAATATGTATTCATTAAGTGCATAGTAATTACATAAATTGCAAAAAAGTGCAATAAACTACAAAAAAATTGAAAATCGTTTTTGATTTTTTAACATATATTTGTAGTTAGAGAAATTTAAGAGGCTTATCCCTCAAAACTGTAAATACAAAAAAGTTGCACAAAATAGTTTCCCACCACAGGAAATTTATTTTGAGTGTCTTCATAGTTTTATTTTTGAAATACACCAATTTTTATACACTGCAGGAAAAACGAAAATAAATATTATACTGCAAATTTGCAAAAAAGCAGCATATGCATCAAAATAAACTATTTCCAGCAGTGCAATATGAGTCCTAAGCATCCCAGAAACGACACAGAAAGTCATAAAGTCAAAGATAACTTTTAAAAACACCAGTATAGAGGCCCTGACAGTAAAAAAAACTACATTTCCGTGGAAACTTCCGGTTTCGGGCAGGTAATGGCGGACATGCGATAGTTCGCGCTGACGTCTATTCCAACGTAGGAAGTGTTATGAACAGCTGATCGGATCGGCAAAGCGTGTTTCTGGAATATTATGTTTTTGTTCCTGCAAGCGCTTTTTATGCAGTTTTTGCAAAGCTTTATGTGGAAGGAAACCGTGACCTAGGACAAGCTGATGGCATCAGATGTAAGTACAACTCCTCCGGTTTCATATGCAAAAAAATTTTTTGCGCTAGCTTACGTGGTTGCAGTGCTACTGGGATTTAAAAATAGTTACGCAAAACAGAGCGTGCCCGCTCCGATCGGCTCTAAAGGGTTAATGACTAACCTCGTATTGTGGATGGATTATCTCAGTTGTTCTCCTGACTGAAGTTTGGTCTGTTTACAGCATCCTGCCATATGATTGCATTTGTCTCTAACCATCGGGAACCCTCACGTTAACTTTTATCGAGTGCTAAAAGTTAGCATTGTCTGTGAAGGTTCTCAGTCATCCAGGTCATCGTAGTCAAAGGAGCTTGCAAAGAAGTCCAGACGCTTTTCTTTGCAAGCTCCTTTGACAAAAGTTAGCATTCATCCTCAGTTTTGGACCCAGATTACTCTGCGAGGCTCCCGACAACAGTAGCCAAATTATAAGGTGCACTGTCAATTTTTGAGAAAACTAAAGGATTTTAAGCGCGCCTTATAGTGCGGAAAATACGGTAGCATTAAGGAGTTATTTAAATATGCCTTTCAGTAGTTTTCAATGACTTAGTCAGGGGATAGAATGATAGTGATCCAAATATCATTACCTTTAACTGCTGTGACTTTCCCCCCCACCAAGTTTAGTGGAGATCCCATACCACATATCCATATATCCACAGATCCATATACCCATAGTATAGCTTCGACCCAAAAGCCAATCTATGAGGAGCCATTTGGAAAAGCCAAGATGAGACAACGCTCCGGATAGTACAACCTTTCTGATTGTGTAAAGAAGAAATAAGGTTGTTCGTAATTTGGCTGCAATCCTATAAATGTTACAAGAGCAGACAGACACTTAAAGCTCCACTTCATGGACTCCAAAGTCATGACCTTCAACTACAGGGAAAGCAGTAAATTATAATTGATGTGTGACTCATATCGAGGAAAAGAGGAAATCAAATAAAACACATATTTCTTTAGTCAAGCAAAAACTGTCAACCGGCTGAAAAACTTTACCAGTAGTAGTTCACGGTCGGTTTCATGAAAGAAAAAGAGCATTGAAAGTGAACTGAAAGAGATTTTTCTTTTTAATCGTTGGTTTCATTTAGCTAGACATCAGTCATTCGTAGAGTCATGCAGTAGTGGTGCAAATGACAAATGAGGCCAATGACAGAAAAATAGTTTCAATTTAAATTTCTAAATGTAAAAAGATACCTGATGTATTCAACTTTCAGTTGCCCTTGTTTATGTTTTTCAATAGTGTCCTTGAACCTTTTTTCACAAATTATCAAGTTAGGAACTTGGATTAGCTCTTGTTTTTTGCGTGTATGTGTGGCTGGATGAATTAAAACAATAAATTGCACTAAAGCTCCACTAAACTGGAACAATTTACCTTTTCATATTAGAGCCATAATGTGGTGATACCTTGTCTTCATGCTTTCCGACTGGCTGCTACAGTATGTAGTGATTTTTAAATGTACTGTGAATTATTGACAAACTGAATAATCTAACTTTGCCTCATTCGAACATAAAAAACATGTTAACACAATTTATCTGTCAGATGAGTACAAGCAAATCCAAACCACTGAAGCTATTCGTAAAATTAATCTTCAAGAAGTACTCATGTAACTGCGATTTGCATCACATTCACATCTCAAATTTGTTCTGTCTCAACATTAAGGGGTACTTCTATTCAGGAAGCAACACAGCTGGAAGTGTTCTCAGTGTGAAAGAAACACTTTTTAAATCAGAGCATAGCAACAGGGCGGTTAAACTTCTGGGATATTGATCTGGTGAGTTAAGTAGAGGATGTGCAGGTAGCCCAACTCCTGGGATGGTACATTAACATGTGACACAATACAAAATTCCAGCAAATACATTATCAGTAGGTTTGCTGTATCTCTCAGCACCGTCTTAAGTGCTTGGAGGAGATTCTAGGAGACAGGCAGCTACTCCTGGAGACCTGGACAAGGCTTTAGAAGGTCCTTAACACATCGGCAGGACTGGAATGTTGCCTGACATAAATCCAACAGAGCACCTCTTGGACATTTAGTTTCGCTCTATCTGGCGCCATCAAGTAGCTCAGTGATGCCCTGGTTCAAATATGCAAGCAGATCCTCTTTGACACCATCTGTCATCTCATTATGATAATGCTCCAACGTTTTCAGGCATGTATACAAGCACAGATACAAACTACTGAGTAAAATTTCAGTAGCATGAACAAGCCCAATGTTTCATTTTTTCACTCTGAATTTCTCTCTTTCTCTGAATTTAGCCCTCTGTAGGTTGATAATTTTAATTTCCATCAAACAGTGTGACATCCCTTCATCCCTAAGACATTACCCAGCCCATATCAGTATAGATATCCAGCATGAGTTTTTCCATTTGAACTTGTGTGGTGTTATTCTAGGAATTCTCTTTAGGTCTTTACTAGGCATTTGTTGATGTTGTGCAAGCAATATACCCTGCCTGTTTCACATATCGATCAAAGACATCCTGTAAATATCAGTGGTGAAAGTTTGAGGATAGAAATTTTGTGCAACAGGCTGATGTGCTGATGAGTTGGTGACTGGGAATGTCTGCTGCAGCTGACTGAAGATACGATGGAAACTGTTTGCTGTGAAACTGGGTGTTGTTGTTTTGCCTTGAAACAGCCTTTGAGTGCAGCAGTCATTGATTTATTATATTGGTTTATGTCTTTGTGTCTGTCAGTCAACAAAGATGACTAATAGGATTTTGGGAATGTTGTTTTTGTATTCTGAAATCAGGAACAGAACTTTGATGTTTTTGTGATTTATCAAACACACAAAACATGCTCCCTCTGTTCAGTTTTTTCCTGATCATACTGAAGATGCAGTGTGTGGATTTGTATTAGCACTAAGAAGCAATATAATATCAGATGACTAAAAAATTGTTTCCCCTGAGCTCCTCTGCCCAACGGGAAAGCGCTGCCTCCTGCCGCTCGTAGAGGTCCGAGTCCGCTGGGTTCCAATCGTGTCTTCGTGGCACGGGTCGTGTCATTCTGTCAGGCGTTGTGTGGAGGCGAGGAAGAAGGAACCCAAACGCAGGACTCGCAGGTAGGTGAAGACTGGTGAAGGTTTATTATAAGGAGTGGATGAACAGAGGGTGAACGGACACTGACTGGCTGGATCACTGAATGGCTGACTGAACTGAGAGAACACACGGGAAGGACAACATCACACGAACATCAATGACACGACAAAGAACTGGTGAAACTGAGGAACTTAAATTTACAGGTTGAATGATGGCAATGATTGGAAACAGGTGAGTACAGGGCTGAACATAATCTGACTATAGGGCTTCGGAGTTGACGTCACGCCGCAATGCATTGTGGGAGCGCGGCGGCATTTTCGGGGTCTACGAATCAAAACAAACACACTGTGTTGGAACGACGATTACAAGATGCTTAAAAGCTGCTCAAACGAGAATGGACTGTATAGAGACCGATTGCGTCCAGAGGCGAAGCGGCGGTACTTGCAGAAAATAGCTGCATTGGAAATGTGGACCCGTATGAAATACGGCCGTGGAGTAGAAACCCTGAAGACCAACCGCTATTGACGTAGCCTGACATATTTATTACCTTATCTGTGGAGTCAGCGCGTACAAGTGGTCATTCAAACAAAGGTAAGTCAGCTCGAGTACTGCGTGTAAAATGTGTTTGATTTCCCTGCAAACATTCACATTAGTGCAGCATAAATTCATTCATGAGGGGAAATTACAGTGAGAACATGTGGAGGCTGTTAGAGGGATAACATAGTGAGTTCAGTGCATTGATGAGACACTGTCCTGAAGGATTTAGTTATTCTTTATGGTTAAAGAAATTGCAATGATTTATTAATGTTTATTATAAATAATCCTAATTACACATCTTGCTTCCATGTTTGTATCTTGTGTCACTAAAAATACATTTTATTTTAGTTTTATACTTTGATCAATGACCTGCAGAATCTCCTTATCATATTAAGTGATTCATAATTGTCACTTTATGCTTTCTCCATCTCTACAGTGATGACATCCTTGCATTACATACTTTAGGTTCATTTTCTGCAGGCAGGTTTCTGACAGAACAGACAGATTTAGACTATAACCTGCAGCGTTCTATAGATGGACACATAAAGAAATGAAAAATGACATGTTGTGCTAACTTTCTAAACACTTTGTTACATTTATGATAAAGTAGATTAAAACACATTTGGTCGAGCCTTGGCTCATAGTTCTTGTCTTTAAATGAACTTTGTCTGTGTGTGTTTCAGGTGCTGCACTCTCAAAGACTGAATGAACCAGCATTGCAGCCATGGGTCACTGTGAGCATCACAGGGAAGGTTGAAGCCGCCCGCTGCAGCTGCATGGCCGGAGTCGCAGAGACCTGCAGCCATGTCGCTGCTCTTCTGTCTAAAGTAGATGGAACAGTGTTGATCCGTGGCACAAGGACTGTTACACATGAACCTGCATACTGGGTTTGCTGGGTAATGTGACCAAGATACAGCCAGAGGTTGGCCATAAGATAGACTTCTCCTCTTCAGCTGCCCAAAAAAAGGCTCTTGATCAAAACATACACAGACAATCTGTAGTGACAGGGAAAAGGAGCCTCAAAACAGAAAAATCCCACCTGCTACTGTGGAGGAGTTGTCACTGCTATAATGCTCACATGTTTTATCTAGGGGTCTAGATGTATGCCTGTAGTGCACTGCCGTGTAAATAATTTGCATTTACTGAATATGTACTGACTGAGTCCCGCTGTTCAAAAGTTGAATAAAGAAACAAAATAATTTTGCCTTTTTTTTTTATTAAAACCACTTTATAGAACATCACATCAGTTACAGTGATGATGTCATTTACAGTTTACAAATGACAAAATGTTTACATAAAATCATGAGTGTTTACATGATATCACCCACTACTAACATTACTTTATTTACTGTATCTTTTGAAAAAATAACAGCACAAGACTTAAGAATCATTTAACAGGAGCAGGTTTCATTCTTCTCTGGTTTTATTATCACACTGTTCACCAAACGCAGCAAACCTTCACCATCTTATCCAGGAGGGTCACCTCTTCACCCTCACATGGAAGAAGTAATCTGATTGGCATGGTGGTATGTTTGAAGCAGGTCCCTCGTGTAGCGCTGGAACCCAGTCATGATGTGTTTCACCCATTTCATCGGCTGGTTTGCTGCAATAATGTCAAATAATTAGCAACTCTATAAATAGAAGGTAGTTCTGCAAAATCACTCAGTAGGATGTTTGTTCTAATTTGCTATGAGCTCAGAGCGCATCGAAAATGAAACTAATAGGCTATAAAGAGTGATATGAACATATTTAGAACTTACCGGAATGAAAATGTCTGGAGCACCAACAGATATTTGGAGATGGAAGAGAGCTGCACGTCAGCTCGTCTCACAGCTGCTCTCCAGGCTGGACGCCTTCGTTTGGTAACATCGATACACGAGCTGCCTCATGTCTGCTTCCAGGTTGGGAAAGCATAAAAAGACAATCCAACCTTATTCCCGTGCCGGTCGTAAGATCGAACATTGCAGCCGAGCACACAGCAAGTACGAACCATGGCTATGCTATCGCTCCTAGCTTAGACCCCCAAAATGGTGAATCGGGCCAAAATCCTTTCCACGCCCACCCCCGTGACATCACGCTCCGAAGCCCTATTGACACAAGAGACAAGCTGACACGGGGAAAAAAACAGGAAGTGAGAACATTGATGTGGCAACATAACCTAAATGTGACAAAACTGAAAACACTGGGTCACCAACCCAGGAACCCTGACAAGGAAGCTGCATGAAGCCCATAATTATCCTCTTAATTCAGATAATTGCAACAAAAGATACAAACTGCAGAATGTCATTGATAGGTTTGTAGCATAAATCTATTTGCTGGAACGTTAAGGACAATTTAATTACACAGCAAAGCAAGACACGAGTAGGCAAAGTTCTTTATGTTTCTCGTGCACGGGAGAGAACTGGACAAATGCCGTCCCTTTGCTTGACCCCGTAACACTACTCTTTTATTGAGGTTACATGAATATACATAGGTTCATTAACATATGACGTCTACATACAAACAAAGAGTACTCTTGCCTGTGCGTTGTGTAAGTATGTGTGTGTGTGTGGGGTCAAGATGTGACCCTGTGAAGACTCCCCAAAGCTGGTGCCAGGAGTCTAGCGGTCCATCTAAACAAAAGGCTCTTAGCCTAAAACTGACATAGCTACGTTTATCCTACCATAAAACAATAAGACAAGGTACGACCTCTCCCATGCTCCCAGGATGTAGGTGTGAATGCCAGAACACTCTGGAATGCACACAAAGCCTTTGCAGACTATTAAGGATCACACATCCTATCACTACACAATCGATTATACACCTCTAAGCATATATGGTTAAATATTTCTAAGCATAAATGACAATAAACAATACAAATCTAACAGTCATCAGTCGTCATTACAGTGCCTAACAAAGCCTGTAACTGTGAGAGCTGACTGAGACGTATTTCATGCTTTGCACATTTACTGTATTAGCCAAAATCT